TTATATTCAAACAATAACTGTTATTGTTTGAATATAAATATATTTATATTCAAACAATAACTGTTACTGTTTGAATATAAATATATTTATAACACTCACCTTAACATTAAATAAAAGAAACAAACGGATTAAAGGAGTCAAGGACAAGAAATCCTTCACATACCTGAACATCCTGAAACCAGTCGGACTCTTCGAACCTGCAGCAGAAAAACTCGTTAAAATATCTGTTAGAGATGCTACATGCTAAGCTAATCTATGTTTAAAGATAAAAGAGACGATAATGTAGATAATGCAATCCAGCTATCAGTTGTTAGTTAGCTCACTAACTTAAATGTGTCTCTTTTATCTTTTAACCATGTTTATAATGTGCTTCTTTAAAACATAGATTAGCTTAGCATTACGACCGACCAAACCCAAAGTGACATCTGAAGGCTAATGTAGCAAAACGCTAACTAACGAGATATTTAACTTATTATTATAATTAGCTCTTGTATTGCTAACATTAGCTATGAGCTGTAACCAGCTAACTGACTTGCTTGGTTGCAGAACGCTAGCTAATTAACGAGCCAACTTTATTTATGTTTCATTTTTCTTTTAACCGTCATCCTACATAGATTAGCCTAGCATAGCACAAAGGGGCGGGGCTTAAGAAGGGACATTGTTATTATTATTAATATTATTGTACGATAAATGTTTTTTACCGACTTTCTCTTCAGGTCTGTGACGAAATCAGAATCTTTGATTTCAAAGAGCCTTAAAGGAGAGACTACGACTCCCAGGGTGCATTGCGGCGAGGAACAAGAACATAAACACACTGTTCTGTTCTGAAGAGGTGTTTCTATTATTCTGTCCACCACCGATAAGAACATTTACTCGAGTACTTTTATCAGCTTTACTTTATAAATAAATAGTTTATAATATTGTTGTTATTGTTGAAACAATCAATCCATTGATCTGATGGTTGAAGTCACTTATTTTGAAAAGACAAATGATTTTCACAATAAAATCCCAGTGTCGATGTTTTATTTAGATTTATTGCAGTTTTTTTATATATTTGTTGTTCTATGATGTTTATGATTTGTTTTAAAGTGTAAACTTAAACTAAAATCAGTCGTTATAATCAGTTCAGTAAAAACATTTCATGGTTCCAGTTTCACAAATATGAAGATTTGTTGTTTTCCCTTTAAATTATTGTAATAACTAATCACTAATCAATAAATGAATGGATCAATAATCAGCAGATGGATCCATAACAGTTGAAAATGAGCTCCAACCAACTTCAACAGTGAAATCCTGCTTTTATATTAATGAGTCAGAATAATAAAATAATAAAAATGAATAACAATAAAATAAATGATACCAGATAAAATAATACAAATAAATAATAATAACAAATAATAACAAAATAATAATAAAATATTAATAATACAGTTTTTTACAGTTTTTACTGTAACAGAATATTTAAACATTCCCGGACGAGCCCCCAATTCATCACAATCGGCTCTGAAAACGATATAACGGAGATAATATAATGATAATAAATAAATTAACGTATTGATTACAGTAAACTGTGAATGTGAAATGTCTCTGCACTGTAAAACCTGAGGAGTTAGTTCAACTCAAACAAATACTTGTTTAAGTAACTTAAGTATTTATTGTTACGGTAACTTTGGTAAATTAAGTTAATTTGACCAATTTAATTCAGTAAATTTAACTTTAATGCAGAATTTATCCAAACTTATTTAAAATGTGAATAAAGTAACTTTATCTTTTTTATACGAATGTTAAAACTTTATTTACTCAGTTTTCTTCCACTAAAACAAATTTATTACATTACCTGTAAAACCAGCCGACGTATAATAAAAACAACTTAATCAACTTAATTGATTTTCAAAATGGCTGCCAATCAAATTGTTACACTTTGGGGATCAATAAGAGTTGTTTGTGTTTATGATGATCAATAAACTGAAATAAACACATTTACACTGTAAAACCCGACAACACGCCTATAAAACTACAATATTTTACATTCAGTTTGTTCCACTGACTCATTTTATTTAACTTTATAACAATGTTAGCATTATAATGCACTTTATTTCAGCTTATAAATCATCATAAACCCAAATAATTCTTATTGATCGACCTGTAAAGATTGATGTTTGTTAAAATTAATAATTTAATAAAAACATTTATATGAAGAAACATTTTAGTGACTTTATTCAGATTAATTCTGTTCACACGAGTTTAACTTTAATTAACTGAATGAAATTAGTACAATTAACTTAATTTACCAAAGTTACCTTCAGAACAAATCCTTTAATACTCAGTTTGAACAATCAGCTGAACTCATTAAAGTTTTAGTTAAATTAACTTTGTTTGTTTTACAGTGTAAAAGCTCTGCATGCTGCCTTCGAGGACACTCTGGAAAAACAGTAATTTGTGCATCAGCAGAAAGTTTAAAGGAGCTGAATAATAAAAAGTGAGTCGTGTTTATGAACCAACTGTCTGTTTTTATTAAACTCACTTTATGTTTGATTGTCTTTATAAATATAAACAGATACAACCGGATACATTGAGCACAAACAGTAGATTATATTAATAATACTGACCTTATAGAAAATATACATTCACACAGAGCACAACTCTGCTCAACAACACAGTTTATCAAAGTTGGTTGAAAGTGATTTTTACTCACTTTGACGCAAACCAACAGTTTAATAGTCTCAGGTGTGACAGGAGCACTTGCACTCGGCTATTACCGGATACTGAACAGGTATCCAGGCGCACTTCAGACCCCCCTTCTTCTGCAGGCAGCGCCATCGCAGGACCGTAAAGTGAGTGGATCTGGCCGGTTTGCAGACCATCCCTTCAGGGACCGAACAAGACCGCTTATTGTAGCAGCTGCCCACCTTCAGGTACCGCGGCCAGAACCGGCTGCCCAGGTCGTTCCACGCGTAAACCACCGGGCAGAAGGCGTACGACCACAGCCACAGCTGCAGCCGCCTCCGCAGCTTCTTACTCGGCTTCTGCTTCTTGCCGTGCTGGACCTCGAACTCCAGGGCCCGGATCTCTTTGGGCATCGCTCCGGAGAGCTTCTGCCGCGGGTCCGCCTCGCTCACGTCCTCGTTCCCCGCGTACTTGTCCTCCGGCGGGGAGACGGACATGAAGTTCGGGTCGAAGTGGCTGCCCAGGGCGCTCCTGAGCTCCGTCTCGTTCAGGTCCTTCTCCCGAGGGTCCAGCACCGGGTCCGGGTCCTCCTTTAGGTCCACTATGGGCAGGGTGTCGCTGGGGATGGGTCGGAGGAGATAGTAGTGTTGGCACATGCCCTCCTCGATCCTGAAGCCCAGAGACAGAACGAGCATCCACACAGCCAGGAAGTAACAGGGGTTCTCCATCAGGGCGGGTCCAGGTGCGGCACAGTCCGGGTACTCTGATAATCCTGCCGGGGGGGACAGAGCCGCGTCCCGGGGTTTCCCTCCGAGTGTCTGAGAGTCTGAGCCGAGAGCGCGCAGACTCAGAGAGAGAGAGAGAGAGAGAGAGAGACAGTCCAGGACCCGGTCCCTGCCGGACTCAGCCCTGCAGCAGGTCCCGGTGAGACCGCTCCGCGCCCCGCAGGTCGCTGCTCTCAGTCCGCATGATGGCACCGGATCCGGCTGCTGGTCCTCCCGCAGCCCGACTGAAGCCTCTGGCTGCGGGGCGGTGATGTAACCCCGCTCCGGATCCGCAGAGACCAACCCTCCATGTTGACCCGAGAACTCCCTCCCTCCCGCCAAAACACTCACGCACAAGCACGCGCACACTGATCTGAAGATGATTATTGGTGCACGCACACACACACACACACACACACACACACACACACACACACACACACACACACTGTAACACACACACACACACACACACACACACACACACACACACACACACACACACACACACACTGTAACACACACACACACACACACACACACACTGTAACACACACACACACACACACACACACACACACACACACTGTGGGTCTGTGCTGGTCGGGACCCAGAAGGTCTTGAATGTGTGGGACTGGTTCCTGTTGGGTTACAGTGTGTGTGTGTGTGTGTGTGTGTGTGTGTGTGTGTGTGTGTGTGTGTGTGTGTTACAGTGTGTGTTACAGTGTGTGTGTGTGTGTGTGTGTGTGTGTGTGTGTTACAGTGTGTGTTACAGTGTGTGTGTGTGTGTGTGTGTTACAGTGTGTTACAGTGTGTTACAGTGTGTGTTACAGTGTGTGTGTGTGTGTGTGTGTGTTACAGTGTGTGTTACAGTGTGTGTTACAGTGTGTGTGTGTGTGTTACAGTGTGTGTGTGTGTGTGTGTGTTACAGTGTGTGTTACAGTGTGTGTGTGTGTGTGTGTGTGTGTTACAGTGTGTGTTACAGTGTGTGTGTGTGTGTTACAGTGTGTGTGTGTGTGTGTGTTGTGTGTGTTACAGTGTGTGTGTGTGTGTGTGTTACAGTGTGTGTGTGTGTGTGTGTGTTGTTACAGTGTGTGTTACAGTGTGTGTGTGTGTGTACAGTGTGTGTCAGTGTGTGTGTGTGTGTGTGTGTGTGTGTGTGTGTGTGTGTGTGTGTGTGTGTGTGTGTGTGTGTGTGTGTGAGTGTGTGTGTTACAGTGTGTGTGTGTGTGTGTGTGTGTGTGTGTGTGTGTGTGTGTGTGTGTGTGTGTGAGTGTGTGTGTTACAGTGTGTGTGTGTGTGTGTTACAGTGTGTGTTACAATTGTGTGTGTGTGTGTGTGTGTGTGTTACAGTGTGTGTGTTACAGTGTGTGTTACAATGTGTGTGTGTGTGTGTGTTACAGTATGTGTTACAGTGTGTGTGTGTTACAGTGTGTGTTACAGTGTGTGTGTGTTACAGTGTGTGTGTGTGTGTGTGTGTGTGTGTGTGTGTGTGTTACAGTGTGTGTTACAGTGTGTGTTACAATGTGTGTGTGTGTGTGTGTGTGTTACAGTATGTGTTACAGTGTGTGTGTGTTACAGTGTGTGTTACAGTGTGTGTGTGTTACAGTGTGTGTGTGTGTGTGTGTGTTACAGTGTGTGTGTTACAGTGTGTGTTACAGTGTGTGTTACAATGTGTGTGTGTGTGTGTGTGTGTGTTACAGTATGTGTTACAGTGTGTGTGTGTTACAGTGTGTGTTACAGTGTGTGTGTGTTACAGTGTGTGTGTGTGTGTGTGTTACAGTGTGTGTGTTACAGTGTGTGTTACAGTGTGTGTGTGTGTGTGTGTGTGTTACAGTGTGTGTGTGTGTGTGTGTGTGTGTTACAGTGTGTGTGTGTGTGTGTTACAGTGTGTGTGTGTGTTACAGTGTGTGTTACAGTGTGTGTGTGTGTGTGTGTGTGTGTGTGTTACAGTGTGTGTGTGTGTGTTACAGTGTGTTACAGTGTGTGTGTGTGTGTGTGTGTGTGTGTTACAGTGTGTGTGTGTGTGTTACCGTGTGTGTGTGTGTGTGTGTGTCGTGTGTGCGTGTGTGTAGTGCGTGTGTGTTACAGTGTGTGTGTTACAGTGTGTGTTACAGTGTGTGTTACAGTGTGTTACAGTGTGTGTGTTACAGTGTGTGTGTGTTACAGTGTGTGTGTGTGTGTGTTACAGTGTGTGTTACAGTGTGTTACAGTGTGTGTTACAGTGTGTGTTACAGTGTGCGTGTTACAGTGTGTGTTACAGTGTGTTACAGTGTGTGTTACAGTGTGTTACAGTGTGTTACAGTGTGTGTTACAGTGTGTTACAGTGTGTGTTACAGTGTGCGTGTTACAGTGTGTGTTACAGTGTGTTACAGTGTGTGTTACTGTGTGTTACAGTGTGTGTGTTACAGTGTGCGTGTTACAGTGTGTTACAGTGTGTGTGTTACAGTGTGCGTGTTACAGTGTGTGTGTTACAGTGTGTTACAGTGTGTGTTACAGTGTGTTACAGTGTGTGTTACAGTGTGTTACAGTGTGTGTGTTACAGTGTGTGTGTTACAGTGTGTTACAGTGTGTGTGTTACAGTGTGCGTGTTACAGTGTGTGTGTTACAGTGTGTTACAGTGTGTGTTACAGTGTGTTACAGTGTGTGTTACAGTGTGTGTTACAGTGTGTTACAGTGTGTGTTACAGTGTGTTACAGTGTGCGTGTTACAGTGTGTGTTACAGTGTGTGTTACAGTGTGTGTTACAGTGTGTTACAGTGTGCGTGTTACAGTGTGTGTTACAGTGTGTGTGTTACAGTGTGTGTGTGTGTGTGTTACAGTGTGTGTTACAGTGTGTGTGTGTGTGTGTGTGTTACAATGTGTGTGTGTTACAGTGTGTGTTACAGTGTGTGTGTTACAGTGTGTTACAGTGTGCGTGTTACAGTGTGTGTTACAGTGTGTGTGTTACAGTGTGTGTTACAGTGTGTGTGTGTGTGTGTTACAATGTGTGTGTGTTACATGTGTGTGTTACAGTGTGTGTTACAGTGTGTGTGTTACAGTGTGTTACAGTGTGTGTGTTACAGTGTGTGTTACAGTGTGTGTGTTACAGTGTGTGTTACAGTGTGTGTGTTAGTGTGTGTTACAGTGTGTGTGTTAGTGTGTGTTACAGTGTGTGTGTGTGTGTGTTACAATGTGTGTGTGTTACAGTGTGTGTTACAGTGTGTGTGTTACAGTGTGTTACAGTGTGTGTGTTACAGTGTGTGTTACAGTGTGTGTGTTACAGTGTGTGTGTTACAGTGTGTGTGTTAGTGTGTGTTACAGTGTGTGTGTGTTACAGTGTGTGTGTTACAGTGTGTGTTACAGTGTGTGTGTTACAGTGTGTGTTACAGTGTGTTACAGTGTGTGTGTTACAGTGTGTGTATGTGTGTGTGTTACAGTGTGTGTTACAGTGTGTGTTAAGTGTGTGTTACAGTGTGTGTGTCTTACAGTGTGTGTTACAGTGTGTGTGTTACAGTGTGTGTTACAGTGTGTGTGTCTTACAGTGTGTGTTACACTGCGTTATAATAATAATAATAATAATAATAATAATAATACATTAAATTATTAGAGGCGCCTCTCTGGGCACTCGAGGACACCGTACAACACAAAAAAAAAAAAAAAAAAAAAAAAAACAGCAATAAATAAGAAACAGATAAGAAAAGACAATGTAGATGGTTAAGTGGGGTAGGCAGTTCTGAATAGGTGAGTTTTTAATCTTGATTTGAAGAGTGTGAGAGAGTCCAGGTTCCTGAGGTCCGGTGGGAGTGTCGGACAGTGAAGAGTTAAAGGTTCGTCCTCAACAGTCTCAGTGAAGGAGACTCTGATTATTGATATCAATACAATATCAATACAATATCAATATAACCTGATCAATTCTCAGTGATGTTTGTGGTTTCCTGATTTCATTCAGAGATCTTGAGGTCAAAGGTCAACAGCCTGCCAGCTCTAAAGTCTCTATATGAGTTTAAATATTTATTTTCACCACAAAGATCATAAACAACATTTTCCTGAAGCTGCAGAAGAAGAAGTGACAGATTTACGGCATCAGAGGAAGAGAAACACTTTTATATTCAGAGCGAGCTCAGAGAGGTGCAACAACATTTACTCCCTAAATCACCAGTTTGTTTTCCTCCTCCACCCCTGACCTCCGTTACCCTCCTCCCTGCTGTCTGCTGATGAAAACAGGGGTTTGTGGGTAATTTTCTGGCCCGCTGCTGTGACAGTGTGACGGGCGCCGTTAAACTGTCACATCTCTGTGGAGAGGAAGTGAGCGGCTCAGATAAGACTTCCTCTCTCTCTGTAAACCTTTCATCCTTCACTTCCATATCGGGGTCGCGGCGGAGGACCGGGGGCTCGTGTTCACGCTCAGACGGATCTGGAGGCCGCGACGACTTTCAGGTTCCAGGAAAAGTCGCCACTGAGCCCCGAAGGCACCGGCCAGCCTCTGTGGGGTCCAGACGTTATCTTTAAAATATATAAAGTATAAAACTGAGCTTGGTTCTCTGATAACTGAAGATCCAGACGTTTAAATGTAGAGTTAAAAAGCACCGGGATCTAAACAGTGGAGGGTAAAAATGTGTCTCTAACTGGATAAAAAGCTTCTGGCAAACAACTGATTTAAAAACTCTTTAACTCTGTTCACACACAGAAAACACATCAAAAATAAACCCTTAAATTACGAGATCCTGCAAGAAGACGTTTTTATTGATCTGGATTTATTGGATAAAACTGATACTGGAACAACATCTGGTTAAACATCTGTATTTCCCAGCGTCCAGAGAGAGCGAGGCGACGGAGACGGTGTGTTCCTGTATGAAGAGCTGTGTTTGTGCCGTTGACCCGTCTGCCACCTTGAAGCCTTCTCACCCAAATGGAGCGTCCAAATTGCCCCGGTTGTCTCACCATCAAAGCTCTTACTTTGTGGGGAGAAACCACATAAACAACAGTTTTTATCTCGCCGGGTCACGAACGCAGCAGCCGGCCTGTTTGTGCTTCGTCCTGGGAGGCCCCCCCTTTTTGATTCGCTATTAAGATTAAGCTAACGTTGTGCGCTAACATCAGAGGGGTGTCCCGTCACTGATCCACTGCGCTGGGCCGTATCGCTGCCGTCTTCTGGAAAATCAAAGGAAAACCTGATTCAAAACATGTGGATCCATCTGTCCGTAGTGGAACAAACAGTCGGTCCGTCTTCGAGCAGCTAACTGGAAGCTACATGGACGACGGTAACGAGTCTTTTGATGATAAAGTGATCGCAGTGTGATCTAACATGACGTAATGTTTTTACCCCGAACAACAACAATAAAACTCACTGCAACACATCTTAATAACAGAATAATAATAAATTATATCCTATATGATCGAATAACAGTTAATATTTTAGTATTTTAACTATATTTGACTCATTACAAACAGTATTTAAATATTCCTGGACGAGCCCCCAATTCATCACAGCGTCACAAATAATAAACTACTGAATTAAACTGTGAATGTGAAACTGTTTTGGTTTATTAACTCAATATAAAAACATTTGATTTGAGTAACTCAAGTATTTATTGTTACAGTAACTTTGGTAAATTAAGTAAATTTGACCAATTTCATTCAGTAAATTGAACTTAGTAAATTACAGTCTAATGCAGCGTTTATCTAAACTTATTTAAAATGTGCAAACAGAATTTATCTATTATATCTATCTATAATTATCTGTAATAAGTCATTTTAATGCATCTTTCTTATACAAATATTACTTTATTATTTACTTTCACTAAAGCAAATTATTACATTACCAGTAAAACCAGCTGACGTAAGATAAACAACTTACAAATAATCGATTAATTATCTGTGGATCAACTAATTTATTCCTGTAATTATAATATATAATATACTTTATGTGACCAACATCAAATCTTGACACTTTGGGGATCAATAAGATTTATTTGTGTTTATGATCAATAAACTGAAACTCAACAACGCGTCTTAATAAAATAAGAGAGTTATTACTTATACTAATTCTGTTCACGTGAGTTTAACTTTAATGAACTGAATGAAATTAGTACAATTAACTTAATTTACCAAAGTTACCTTAACAACAAATACTTCAGTTACTCAAATCAAATATCTTTTGATGCTTAAATTGATTTAATTAACAGTTTCCAGCGATGTAATAAGTTTAAAATAACGTCACATTGGACAAAAAAAAGAACGAAATAAAGAGTCTGAACGACTCAATGAGGTGGCTGTTTATGTCCGGACACTAATCAATAACTATTATTATATATAATGAACATACATTATTATTTTACTGGTAAAGAACGTTTACATCTTTAAATTAGAGGAACTACTTTCACCTAAAAGTGGGCGGAAGTTGAAGTGAAGTACCTGCTCTGATCTACTGTGAATATTAAATATCGATCAGAACTTAAACAGTGAGTGCAGGTTGTAATAACGTGTTTATGACGTTGTGTTTCTCCGAGCAGCTCGCAGTCTGAACTGAATAACCGGATCAGCATTCCCTCTGACGGACTCGTTGTGTGAGGAGCCAAGTCCTCTCGGCAGCGAGGGGCCGGGGGAGCAGCGATCCTGTGGCTTGGACCGACGCTCTGAAATGCTTCGAGCGCTCCAGCGGGAAAACTCCCTGCCAGCCGTGGTGTGAGATTCCAGTTGGTTCACACCCTCCCACACGGCGTCCTCAGACCGCTGCAGCAGCTCGGCCTGCCAGTCAGATTCCTCCGACACCTCCAGGCCCAGAGACCGGACCGGCTCACAGGAAGTGAAACCAGAAACCTTTCTGACCTCGAGCCAATAAAACCTCACAAATCCCTCTGGACCCTCTGCTCATGTAGGGACAAGTAATAAAGTACATGTGCTCAGGTACTGTTGTAAGTACAGTAATAAAGCACACATTAACACTTTAAAGCTTCCAGATGTCAGATTATTGATCAGTGTATTGATCAGTGTATTGATTTCTGCTAAGCTCGTGGAACATATTGTCTGATTGTGCTGTTAGCTGGCTAACGTTAGCGATACGAGGCCGGAGCATCCAGCGAGCTAACTGTAGCTAATCTAAGCTGGGTTGACTAACCTTATTCTAAATATGATTGTCAGTTATTTTACAGCGTTCAGTGTTTGTTGCTGTTGGCTGATACCCAGGATGCAGTTCACTGAACGGCCACTGGTGGCGCTGTCAGCCACAGTTTAATGAATGTTACATATAGAAGCTTTAAAGTGTCTGTTAAAACTTGTTTTTCTCCTTTTTGTCGCAGATATTATAAAATCCCTTTTAGACTCACAGATGTAAGAATATAATCTGATGATCCAACAGCAGTCGCCCACAATGCACCACATGACCTCGAGCTCACAGGTAACATCCCAGCGCTGACAGCGGGGTCACATTACCTCTGACTGGCAGAGCTTGACTCACATACCCAGAATGCCACAGATATGGACGAGGAAGCGGTGATGAAAACTGCCTCACAGAGACGAGGGAGTCGTTTCAGCGACTGCAGACGTTTAATCCGACATTAAATCAGATTAATTAATAAAAGACAGAAGGAAGGTTTAAGTGCACAACATCCACATGAGTTTATTTCAGCTGTTAATTACATCCATTCATGAAAACACTGGAGCCATAAAAAAACACAGGTCCACCTTTAATAAATCATAATAAAGCAAATAAATAAAGTCAGAAAGGTTCCTGGTGCAGAAATATACAGAAATACTGGAGAGAGTCACCTGACTGAAGCTTCAGGTACAACGTCCTGTCTCTGACATTTCACAATAAAAGCCTTTGAATCTCGTGTTTAATCTTCTTCTTTGCTCCGTTGATCAGAGATGTATGGAAGCCCATTACTGCCAAATATAAAATGAGATTAAAACTCGATAATAACGAAAAATTCACCTTAAATCAAAATAATGATTAAAAAAACTCAAAATAATGAAATACATTTTTAATCGTGACATTAAAGTTGAAAATATGACAGAAAGTCATAATTCTGAGATACAATTTCTCTTTTGTAACTTTCTGTGGGAATATTTTAATTATTAAGTTTTCATCTGATTTTGTTTAACTGGCAGAAATGAGCTTCCATAGAGCGACAGAAAGTTCCTGTAGGTTGATTTTGTTTTGGATATTAACTCATTAAAGACGACTAACGAGGTGGAAACACAGAAACTTACTTTTTGTTTATTATTTCCTTAACTGGTAAACAGAAAGATACAAACGTTAATTTGAATATGAGATTTCCTCACTGACTGAAGGTTCTGGATCCACTGGTACCAAACAGAACTGTATTTAGTGGTCAGTCACTGGGAGTTCCTGTCAAACATTATTAAACTATTATTGAACGTGTGTCTGAATGACGGAAATACCAGAAGAAAAAAGCAACTTTCAGTTTTCTTTGTGAATTTTTTTCGTAACAGTCCCGAAAATGTTTGTATCAAAAATTATTAAAATATTAAAATTCTAACCGACAGTTTCAGAGGAATCTTCCTCCAAGTGACTAACGACTAAAAAAAGTTTAATAAAAATATTTTAGTGGATTTGTGCTTAGCTTAGCATAGCTTAGCTAATACTTTAAGTGCTGCAAATGAAATTCTATTATTATAATTATTATTATAATTCCACTGTGGACATTAATGGGTCATTAATAGCTAAGATGTGACTATATAAATGTCTCTTTTATCTTTTAACCATCTTTAAAATGTGGTTGTCTTTTGAACATAGATTAGCTTAGCATGTAGCATCTCTAAGTACAGGAAGGGAGGAAGTTGCTCAACTGTGATTGGAGCACATAGCAAAAAGGGGCGGGGCTTATGTATAACTTTAAGTGGTGAGTTTAGTAAACATGTTTGTTTCTGCAGTTGAATATGAAGCCTGACTCACTGCTGGAGCCTCTAGTGGACTTTAGAGGAACTGCAGGTTTTGGCTTCATTTGCAGCCAACAGAGGTTGCTGGTCTTTATGCTAAGCTAGGCTAATCCCCCCCTGGCTTTAGCTTCCTGCTCAACCTCTGTGTATGTGTGTGATATCAAACTGAAGGTGTAACCGCAGTACTGACCTCTGCAGTATCAGTGCTACACATTCAAACCAGAACCTGGAAACACTTCACACGTCTTCATCAACACGTTGGACCTTGTTACAGTCATTAATGAGAGAAGCTGCCACAGTTAATGCCCAATTGCATAAAACATATTCAATTAGCTTTTATTCCATAATGTGCAAACATTAAAAACACACTGTTCAAAATCGCGTGCATATATCAGAGGAACCTGTTCAAACAGCTCTAACAGGGGAAACACTACAGTGACTGTGGACGAAGGTGAACACAAACACCGGCGGGTCCGAGGGGCAAAGTGCAGACTGCCTTCAGTCAAACTGTATCCTGACCCCCCACCCCGACCCCGACCCCTGACCCCTGACCCCTGACGCTGTCATGCTTAACAAGGAGGAGGCACAAACCGGACACAAAAAAAACAAAACGACAGCTACAAACTACTTCATGCCGACAAAATACAGCTCTGATAGATACGGAAGCTCATTGCTGCCAATGTGAGGAAGAAATAATGATTCTCTCTTTATAATGAGAAACCTTAAATAACGATAGATTATAATAAGTAATTTTAATGATAATATAATGTGTTTTTACGTCACATTGGCAGAAATGGGCTTCCATAGAAAAGTACATCTTTAATCCAAGACTATAAAAATACTTTAGTGGTCTGAGTTTAGTGACTGTTTGAGTCTTTTTCTTTAAACTGACCACAGGTTTATTCGACCACATCATAGCAAAATAACACTGATTGAAAGACGGGATTCAATCGCCACAGGAGACCACACAAACTGTACATTCACTTCAAGTAGAGGAGAATCCATGCTCTGAAGACGGGAAAGAAAAACTGTTCCAACATTTCAATCTGAGAGTTTGTCGACAGAATTTAACTAAACCGGGGAAAATAAAAGTCAATCAAACCTTCTTCTTCTTTTTGGTTGACGTACAGTCAGCAGTGCTCGGTTTGTTGTTGCATTGATTATTTTCTGTGTAACAGTCGCTGCCATGGGTTCTGAGGCTTGGCGGAGTTGAACCAGCAACTTTAGTTTAGTTTACAATCTACGGAGAGGTCTGAGGGCCGCACGCCGCCACGCGCCCGGCCAATGGTCGCTGTGGTAGAGAGACAGAGGGAGAGAGAGAGCGAGGGGGAGAGAGGGAGAGAGAGAGAGAGAGAGAGAGAGAGAGAGAGAGAGAGGGAGAGAGAGAGAGAGAGAGGGAGGGAGAGAGACAGAGGGGAGAGAGAGAGCGAGGGGGAGAGAGGGAGAGAGAGAGAGAGAGAGAGAGAGAGAGAGAGAGAGAGAGGGAGGGGAGAGAGACAGAGAGAGAGGGAGAGAGGGAGGGAGAGAGAGGGAGAGAGAGAGGGGGAGAGAGAGGGAGAGAGACAGAGAGAGAGGGAGAGAGAGAGAGAGAGAGAGGGAGAGAGAGAGAGGGGGCGAGAGGGAGGGAGGGAGAGAGAGAGAGGGAGAGAGAGGGAGGGAGAGAGAGAGAGAGGGAGAGAGAGGGAGGGAGAGAGGGAGGGAGGGAGGGAGAGAGAGGGGGAGAGAGAGGGAGGGAGAGAGAGAGGGAGAGAGAGAGAGAGGGAGGGAGAGAGAGAGAGAGGAAGGGAGAGAGAGAGAGGAAGGGAGAGAGAGGGGGGGTTTGATATGAGACCCAACAGGTTTGACCTTTCACCTTTGAGTCTGAGGTTATTTTAAAGCTGCAGGGACTTGAACCACCGACCTGCTTCGCCCTCAGCGGCGGTCCGACTCTACAGCGTGCTGCTGAGGATCTCTGACACCTGCGCATTCGTTTGGTCGTCTGAGTCTACTTCCTGGATGGAGGCCCCCTCTGGCTCCTCCCCCTCCCCTCCAGACTCCACCTGTGCCACGACCACCGACACGCCTGCAGCCGTCACCTCCTCCCTCGTCTCTCCCCCCTCCTCCTCCTCCTCCTCCTCCCAGCCACTCCTCTCGTGGCCCGGCGACAGCTCCTTACACGGCTCCACAAAGATCCTGCGGACGTGGGGCCGCGGATCCCGGTGTCGGCCCTTCCGGCTCTCCAGGACGCAGGAGGCGTGGCTCACGTAGGTGGGGCCCGGCAGCGAAGGCGGGTCCCCGGGCAGAGGCAGGTCCAGGTCAAGCTGCTTGGTGTAGACGCCCTCGGATAAAGATCCTGTGTGCGTCTCCCCGCTGTGGCCCCGGAGCCAGCGCTGGGGCCCGCTGAAGTACTGGCCCCGGTGGCTCCTGGAGAGCAGTTTGCGTTTGGCGGGAGGGTTGGCGAGGGCCCTCAGGGGAGCAACGCCCTCCTTGGAGAGGGAGAGGCCCTCAAAGGTCTTGGTGGTGTCGGACAGCGCCGGGGAGAGAGGGAGGGACAGAGGCAGGTCCTTGGAGAATCTGGGGGACAGGGGGACGGACGGAGAGGTGGGAAGGGTCCTGGAGAGGGAGGGAGAGCGAGGCAGACCGGAGGGAGAGAGAGGGAAGTCTGTGGATAGAGAGGGGGAGTGGGGGAGGAGGGGTGAGGAGAGAGGATCCTTCACCCCCGAGGAGAGGGGGAGGTCTTTGGGAGGGCAGACGCTGTACCTGAGAGACGGAGACATGAAAGCATCCGTCAGATTAACACCAACAGGGACGGCGTGGACTCGCTGCCACTTCCTGTTCCTTCAGTTTGTTTATTTACTACATAAAAAATAAACAAACAAACCTGAGCTCGTGGATCTGGAGCACGTCTGGGGCGCTGCCGCCCAGCGAGTGCACAGCCTGCTGGGATAGATCCTGGGCTGGAGAGTAGAGCAGGTCCAGCTCACGGGGGCTCAGCGCGTCGCTGGAGTCGTAGTCACTGTCAGTCGGGAGAAAAACCTCAGAGGACCCGTCTTCATCGGACCCGAGCAGAGAGTCTGACAGACAGAGAGCGACACAGGGACGTTTTATGTTTGTTAAAATATATACATTTTATTCTGAGCTCCTGCGTGACGACTCACCACTCATGACTTTCCGTCTGCGGAGTTCGGGTGAGGGGGAAGGTGTAGGAAGATAGTCCATGGTCGAGGAGGTGGAGTCCGTCTTCTGCTGGCCGGAGTCGTTATCTGGAGCGCTGGCGTCCACCAGGCAGGTGATTGGTACGCCGCCGCGAGGCTGCTTGTAGCGGGCGTACTGCAGGGCGTCGGTGATCCAGCGAAGATCACGACGAACTTCGTCCAGTTGCTACAGGAAACAAAACAACGATAAAAAATCTGTTATTTATTTAAGTATGTATGCTGTCTGTTTCTACGCAGATGATATCTTTGTTTATCTTTAAGTTCTAACCAGTGAGTTCGCTGCTGTTTAAAGGGGAGAATTCTTATTATTGATTATTATTTATATTATATATAATATACTATTTCATTCTCTTTTTAGTAAAGCACTATGTAAGGTTGTTTTTAAACACTACAAATGCAAAAAAAAAATTGGTCAGAAATGCCACAAATCAGATGTTTTGTCTTATTATTACAAAACTTAGAGGAAATGTTTCATAACAATGTTGAACTGACAGTCTGTGTTGGTTTGAACCTGGAATGCAGCTATATTTATAATTAATTTATGGGCTGCACGATATGGTAAAAACATCACATTGTGTAGCGTGAGAAGGACCAATCTCTCAAAATAAATGTTCAGTGACAAAAACATTAAAATCTTAATGATGTGACATTTATTGTGACACTGCAGCTCTTCATTATAACGCTGTTTGTCTCGTTTCACCATCTACAAGGTGCAGCTGTGATTTACATATTTCACTTCCATATTGTGATTCTGATTAATTCCACAGCCATAATTATTATTATTATTATTATTTCTGAGGATGACACACTTCCTCTGAACTCAGACATTTAATGTTCGGGTGTATTTTGGTCGACTGACTGAGAGTCGGAGGCTTCAGGACTGAACGTGAGTGACTGGAAATGTGTGTGTGTGTTTGAAGAGAATGAAGCGTGACAAAACGTTAAGCAGCAATTAGCCGTCTGACAGAAAGCAGGAGAGCCAGACACACACACACACACACACACACACACACACACACACACACACACACACACACAACGGGGAGACTGACAGCGGCGATGACTCGGCTGGAAAGAATGCCGAGGCTGCGATGGCGGAGCGAGGAGAGTCTGCCGGGAGAAACACATGAAGGAGATTCCTGCTCGTCCTACTCTGTTTACCAGCAGCCACGTACAGGCTGCAGCTCGCTCTGACTGCATGGACACGGTAGCGCTGCCGTCACGCCGCAGGTGTCGCCTCAGAGATACGTAGAATATGAGTAGTTTGTGAACTGGGTTTTGGAGAAAAGGTGCTCCCAGTGCGAACAGGTACAAACAAACAGTTTACACCCAGGAGAGGACGGTGGATGGCTCCATACCGCGGCCTCGATACGGCGCTCTGAGTGTCATATAAGGAACTTTCCAGAGCATCTGCTGCTGATCAGACTCTGACAGCAGCTTTATGATTTAAGACAAAGTGAGAGACACAGACGGAGCTACAGCGCGTGTGTGTGTGTCTGTGTGTGTGTCTGTGTGTGAGAGTGTGTGTTTTATTATTTGGGCACTTTGACCTTTGAATGAAACACATTTATAACTGTTTTTAACTGTATATAAATGTATTTTGTATCAGTGATCCGTGCATCAGAGAGCATCTTCCTGCTCGATGTTGTTGGGTTGTTTCTCTGCTTCAGACCTCCTCTGACTGACTTCCTGTCTGGTGCCTCAGTGTTGAGTCTGCTCGCTGTATTTTATTTTGAAAACTGACCACATTCTCTGTACAGTTTCTGTGCTTGACGTGAGTGGGTCGCTGCTTCCGTCAAACATAAACCGGCTTCTAGGAAAGTCGGAAAGTATCGTCTAGAACGGGCGCGACAAGCTCCGGCGACTGCGGCGTCACAGCCATGTCCGGTGGAATCTGGAGGGTTAACAATTCCTAACATGTTCGTAACAACACGTAACTCTAGAAACACGAACAAAAGGCCGTCATATGTCCACAGTCTGACTGTCAATACAGGATCAATATCATCCATAAAGATACAGTGTATACTGATCAATATCATCCATAAAGATACAGTGTATACTGATCAATATCATCCATAAAGATACAGTGTATACTGATCAATATCATCCATAAAGATACAGTGTATACTGATCAATATCATCCATAAAGATACAGTATTGATAATGTTGTAGCTGTGAGGAGACACATGTGGACAGTTTGTGGTTGAGTCTAAACAAACTGTCCTATTAGACGGCATCACGTCATCCACACACACACACACACACACACACACACACACACACACACACACACACACACACACACACACACTGTCAGGTCCTCCCAGACGTGTGTGTACGTGTATAATTCTATCTTTGTGAGGACCAGTTTGAGTTTTATAACTGAAGAGGAAAGTTTCTATAACATTTCTGACGTAAAGATACAGGAGAGATTTGAAAGCGATTGTTTGAGGGGAAAACCGTGGTTTCAGGTTCACGTTGGGGTCGGGATAGTAAATGTATTATAACAATGAGGGTCCTCGTAAGTATAGAAGCAAGGACACTTTAAATGAAAACATATTTGGATTTCCAGAGTGAAGAAGAGACAAAGTGAACATTTCTGACATTTCAACAAAAGTTTTATAAAGTGAAGTGAGGACATTGTGATGATTTGTTTCAGGGTCGGGGGTTAGTGAACGTATTATAAGAATGAGGGTCCTCACTAGTACACAAGTCCTAATGTTTGTGCTGACAGACGTGGCCCTGTTCCACACACACACACACACACACACACACACACACACACACACACACACACACACTGATTGGTATTATTTTTTCCCTCTCTCTCTGAGCAATTTGTGGTCGGGGGGGCACTTTTTTCCGAGCTTTAAAATCGCAGACAGAGTGAGACAGCTGGTCTCACAGACACACACACACACACACTCTCTCTCTGGCAGAGCTGCGGTCGGAGGACCCGTGTGGTTTTGTGGTCGGCCTCCATTAACGGCGGCGGTGAGCTCTTCACAGAGAAATCTCCAGACGAGTTCACTCTCTTACTTTTGGCGGGCGGACGGCGAGCAGCAGTTTGACGGTGAGCGCTCGCAACAGTTCTTCTTTATTGCATCAATAAACGTCCCAAATTGGATTACCAACTCGTTTGTTTTCACACCGCCTCCGTTTATTATGTCATTCCCTTCAGAAAGAGACCAAATATGAAATAAAATTATATTGAAAACGAGATTTATTAAAATAATCCTCTTTGATGAACCGCGAGCTGATTGGTTCTCAGCTGCTTTCAAACGTTTACGAGTCCGACGGTCCCGCCGCGACGTCATGGAGTCAGACCACAACTGTTCAATTACTCTTTCTTACATAGGACAACAACAACAATAATAATAATAATAATAATAAAAACAATAAATGGAGGTACAATATAACGCAGGACGGGACCTTAAAGGTTAACTTTTTAATTTCACCTGGACTTTAACTCGCCGGTTGCCAGTAGGGGGCGCTACTGAGCAGAGTTAAGGAGGAAGTGGGAGCAGCACACAGAGCTGATACACTACAGAGGTTCAGTGCCTCGGTGCTGGATTCCCTGCCAGTCTCTGAGATTGGGTTTGGTACTGGGTTTGGTACTGGGTTTGGTACTGGGTTTGGTACTGGGTTTGGTACTGGGTTCGGTACTGGGTTCGGTACTGGGTTCGGTACTGTGTTCGGTACTGGGTTCGGTACTGGGTTCGGTACTGGCTTCGGTACTGGGTTCGGTACTGGGTTTGGTACTGGGTTCGCCTGAGGAAGTAACCTGAACTGCTTTCTATTTCAGAGACTTCGGAGCTGTGAGGTCACTCTGCTCTCTGATGATGGACTTTGACTGAAATGCATGCTGGGACTCTCAGACTGAGAGGATCTGCCTGTTTCCTACCTGGATGTAGTCCAGTATGAGCTGGTGCCTCTGTTTCGCAGTGGCCACCTCACTGTCGGTGATGGCCTCCCGCAGTGCCTGCTGGGTAATGAGGGCGTCCAGATCGAGGACGGAGGACAGGCGGCAGTACAGACTGATGAACTTCTCCTTGAAGGTGCAGAAGTGAACTAAAAGAGAGAAGAGGAAGAAGAAAACAACGAGCTGAAAACTTCAATAATGAAGAAACAAACTATAAATGTTTGAATGTTAAAGCAGGTAAAAATAGAAAGAATCAAACTCCAGAAGACAGTTACAGCTTTCTGTAAACAGAAAGTAATTTAAATGGACTCTGGCACATAAGGAGCAGCTGGCATGCAGCTAATTTGTATGTTGTAGGAGAACATGCAAATTAGCTGCATGAGGATGTTCTCATGACGAGAGCTTCTCGCTGCGTCTTCCTGCGGCGGGAAACAGAAACTGATCATCAGCGAGAGTCTGAGAGCGACATCCAGCAGCTGTGAGGAGGTCAGAGTGTACAAAGAGAGAGTACTGTGCAGTGTGTTTGGGTGTTATTGACACATTCTTGTGTGTGTGTGTGAGAGTGTGTGTG